TACATGTACAATAGGGCTGCTGGTTTTGTCTTCGTGACAAAATCCTCGACTTTCACTCTGGTATTTTGTTCCCCTTGAATCTATCTTTCTTCTCGTAACTTGAACTAGATGAAATGGGTAAGACATGAGATCATAATGATGTCTGCCACGAACGAGGAGCTTACATTTCAATCCGTGGCTCAGGATGTGCTCCATGACGACAAAGAATTGCTGGAGTGGAACGTGTTCATCGTCCAGTGTCCTTGCCTCGGCCAGAGCCGACTCAATGAGATTCTTGATGCAGAGCTTGGCCACATTGAGCAGGTTGCTTCGCTCTACTAGCATGGGGTTCTTCATGACACTGTTATCTGAAGAAGAAAAACCAAATGTGGAAAAAAAACATGTACATGTACATCTCTGTTTTCCCTCTCTGTGAATGAATGTACAAGAGTAAGCCCCCCAATAATGGACTCCTCAAGCTTTGATTTAATTAAACTTTTAATAAACAAACTGCCAGCATTACGTAAACAAGTTAATGTAAAAACTGAAACCATACCTGCCGAAAGCACATGCACTGCATATTTCTCGGGCACGTCCATAAACCGCACCATAATCTATTGCCATCTTTGCCACTGGCATCATTATCGATATTATCTTGGTCCCTAGCTTGATATCACTGTCAACATCACCCGCCCTCTGTCATTTTACAAAATAATCCAAATTAGGCAATAGTCTATCCCTAACAGTCCCAAATCCTCCGATTTCAATATGATTTTGCAACACCCTACAGGGTTAGGGCTATCCCCCTTGAAACTGTCCATATCAAACTCATTTTGTGACATTCCCCACAAAGAAACACGTACATGTACATGCACCTGTTACCTGACAAGATCAGATGGACCATGGAATGCATACTATCCTATGTGCATTTGCCAAGATATCATCCAAGACATCTTGGTGGGAAATTAAAACCACAGAATAACAGTCGATACCATTTGACATACATTGTACTGTACATTCCACATACTGTAGCAATAATGTGCATACCAGGAAATTCAGACGTACGTACATGTACATGTACAGGAGTAATTCCAGAAATGAGGGGTCNTTTGGCTGGTAATTTGCACTAATTCATCACTCTTGGAAATTTTAAAATGTACTGTGAACTTACAAAATCATGTCAGATATGACAGGGACACACCCAAAAAATGGACCCCTACTTTATAGAATGACCCGCAAACATGTACATGTACGTACTTATCAGTATTCTACATACATGTACATGTAGGAACAAAATGTACACTGTTGATATCTGTATCAGCACCAATACTATTTTATTTACATGTACATGTACTTGTACACGTACATGTACGCATATACACCACAAATGCTTTCACTCTCTATAACATAAAGCAACATGTTTAACAAGATAGAGGTAGTTTCCAAGTGATCTGTGGCTCTTCCTTCCATTGCAATCATGCCCTGCTCGAAAACATCTGCACCTAAAATGGAATATTGACAACCTTCACCCTAACCCTCCTCAATCCTTCACCTGTTGGAGGACTGAGGAGTGTTAGGGTTAAGGATATATGTACAAGTAAAAAAAATGTAATTTAACAGTTGGCAAAGTACATGTACTCTATACAATTAAAAGGAAATCTTCTTCAGCCAGTTGCAATTGATATTTATTACACAGTAGTACCATGAGAAATATCATTATCAAAAACTGTTCTTTTTTCTTCATGTTATTCTTTTACATGAACTGTAGGCCTGATAGCCGTCTGGATTACTGCTACATGTACTGAAACAACCGAGAGGCAGACTGCACCTATCCACGGCCTCAGCTATGAAACCCACTGGCTAATGTTCATCAAAAAATGTCACCCTATCTCAAGGACCATGCAAGAGTATACATGTACGGTGTACATGTACATTGTCGGATGAACTCGGAACTTAGAGAAGGATTTGCCTAGGTATAGGCACATTAATGCAAGCTGATACCTCGATACCTCAGGGACACAAATGTGTATGGACAGACTAGCAAATTGCATTACATGTATTCTTCATAAAATAGCTGGGGACATTTCAAAGAAAGGTTCAAGTACATGTACATGGACATGGGTGTGTGATGCCCATTATTTCAATGAGCAACTGACATATTTAAGCAATACGATGTGCCACATAGCACCGTACATCTGTGCGGCATGTACAATGTACACATATTTTTAAGTGTTTGAAGACAAAAGTACTGGTATTTACAATATGATTCCCTCCCTTCTTACATACATCAACACCAAAAAAAGTCACATGGAACAGGCCCGTAATATATCCGAGTTCTGTGACGGGGAATTGAAGTACAGGCCCATTATTTTGAGAGCTGCGTCACAAGAAGTGCGGTACATGGACAGCAGGTACCATATTCACACACAGACTGTGATCCATACAAGCCCACGAGTGCACGATACCTACATGTATGCATCTTGTATCTCAGCAATAAATTAGGGTTCGATTTGATTTTTCAAAACAATTTTCTAAACAATATTTTCATCTGAAAATAATTAACCTGAGGAAAATGTTCACCCATATTTTACACATGTGCACTGGTACATTAAATTTACAAATGCCCTTGCATAAGATATACATGTACAATGAAATTTATATGAAACTTTCAAAGAATGCTAAATTACATGTATATGTACAGTAGTTGACATGCACCAGTATTTGTCCTGGGGGGGGCTGAGCACAATCGAAAAGCCAAAATGCTTCATGTGTTTGTAATCGACTTTGTGGATGTATGACAGGTGTACTATGAGAAGGATATGAAGAACCACCCCATGCAGGCCTCATCACATGCATCACCTGACTTCATGTGAATGTTTGTCTGGAAGAACAGAAAGACCTTTGCATGAATTGTACACTTAGGATTTGCCACCTCCCCCCAGGGCCATTCAGGTATGTAACAGTGACTGGATAGGGGAATTCTTGTATTCATCCCTTAGCAATAATGAAACCCATTAGCAAGTCATCTGGAACCGAGTTGAGATGAATTTCAAAGACTTCTCAACAAAAATATCCAGGATCGTAAATGTATGCACATGAGGTACATGTACATTGTAAGTGAGGCATAAAGTAATACCATAAAATTGTCATTGCGAAGATGTGCCCTGAAACAAGAACTTCAGAAGTAAAAATCTTAATTTGCTGCAATAATTTTGTCACTGACTCAAATGTTTAAAAATATGGGGGTTACTGAAATTTGATTCCTGTATATATACAGGCTACAATATAAACACTAAGCTAATTTCTAACACTCCAGATCCTTCAAAATCTGTCAGATTTGTGGGATTTTGTAGGATTTGCAGGAACCTGTGAGGGCAATCAATAATCACACAGTGAAAAGCCTTAAAGAGAGACGAGGTCAGCATACATCCTGCGCTGTTTTCTCTGTACACACTTGTATACATTTGCATAGAGCCTAGCCAGTCAATGCAAGACACAAATGGTACTTGTAGCCTTAATTAAAGGGACATGTTAAATACACGTAACATATTGTAGATGGGCTTTTCTTTACCATATCCATTTAGCATGCAGTTAATTACATGTGCGTGTATACACATTGCAATCCATTTATTGTCTAAACGTGGAACCTGGACAAAAAATATTCACAGTTAGACTATTTTTTGTAAGGCACTCGAGGCTCGTGGCTACTGTGTATCCACTCTCAACTACTCACGACTTGCACTTGTACATGTAATGACAGAAAGTGTTGTGCACATTCAAACAAAAATATACATCTCAATCTGAGAAACATATCCAAGCAATCAGAAACACACCTACACAAAACCATAAATATATGTGGGAAAAAAAGCAAAATTCTATTTAAACTATGATGCACTCCACCAGCATCTGGCACATGCGATGGGTTATTACAATGTGCATGTACATCCCTTGAGGCATTCAGATTGGACGGACATGTAAATGATGCAGAATGGAAAATGGGGAAGTGCTAGGAAAATAATGTGATAAATAGTCTAGAAATCTCTATTTCTCTGTCAGATATCAGATAATAAGATGTAGCTGATTCACAAAATGAATCTGTGTCCCACTCCTAAAAACAAACATACATGATTGTATGTACACTTACACTGTACATGTATGGAAGGTCCACATGTACGGTATGTGTACATTCATCATGCGCCAGATAAGATGAAATATTATATGCCTGAACTTCTAAGATGTACATACAATGTATGATGGCCTTCATCAGAACAAAAATTAGAAGGAAATTTACAAATCTTTTGCAGGAATAGATTCTGTCTAGATACCTTCATCATCTTCGGATGGTGACATTAACTTGGGCGTGGCACCGGGCGTGCCTGCTGTCATGTCAGCCAGTTCCCGAAGGCACAGCCACTCCCCGTCTACTGACACTCGGAAGTTGCACAGGTAGATAGTGTCCGCCATGGCTGTCCCTCCTTCAGTGCCGGGCTGGGGTAAGTCGGCATCCATTTTATACTCAAAGAGCTTCACAAGTTCACACCAATCGCATGTGAAGGCTATTCAATGTTACTCCGATAATTAATGCAGGTAACAAATGTGCTACAAGTGTCACCTTCGTCCTGAGGATCTAATATTAGAGTTCTCAACGGCCGATGCAGATTTCTTACTCAGTCTTTTTCCAGTCGCCTCCTGATATTTAAAGCTCCGTCAGTAAACCGTCGCCGTCTTTATCAAATCATACAATCCATAAGAGTGCTATCACATTACTCGTCTTTGAATCGACTACACAATTCCTGAATAGTCCACTTTCCAGTGAGAATGGTTTGTGTTCAGGGAGTACGTAAGCTACTTGCGAAACGAAGACAATTCTGAGCTGGGACCTTCGCTCAGAATCCAGAAGGAGGGGATGGGTACAGGATGTCTACAGAATCTGGGGAATTTTCATCCAGGAGACCGTGATACTCCCAAATCCGGAGACGCAGACGGAGGACTTTGCTGGCAAAGTGGATTACCGTGGCAACACTGACGACAAACACAACTAGGGTGAACAGGAGAAGTAGCCACAGCATCAAGCTCCTTTGATGTGAATCGTCGGCACGGCAGCATCAATTATGCGCAGGCTTGGAACACTAGGGGAAATCTCCCTCTACAGGGTGTACGGTACCATGCAAAATACCAATTAGACAAACCGTTCAAGCCCAAGAATTACAGTAAAATATTGAAGTCAATGGGCACACGCACACAATACGCATTAGAGTATGCTTGAGTTGATGACATGTACGTGTGCACAAAGTCTACCGCTCCCAAAAACACTCCACCGTACCAACAGAAATGTACCATATTGTCAATGCTCTTAAGATATTGTAAGACATGAATGCTCTGCTAGTCTTGATGCATGGATTCTATATACGCACGATTGCACAGCCTTTCACAAGAGCACTAATGCACCATCTGTAAGGCAATCACTAGAAAACTACTCTTGCAGAGGTACATGTAGACAATGTCCACTTCTCATTTTCGATTTCAGAATCAGATTGCTGATGATGAGCAGTCGACAGCGGCAGTTCAGAGACTGACTGAACAGGAAATTAAGAGAGCAAAAATGAGGACCGTCTTGCCGATGCAAGTGCAGTGGGGTGATGGGCGCTGTGCCCAGCACGGGAAATGAGAGCTCGCTGGCTAATTATATGATGCTATCCCAACGCAGCCAGTCAGGACTGTCTGTAGGCAGCCATGGGTATGCATATATGTAGGCTGCCTGATCTTAATGTGTGGCGTGATCGGCATACGTGTACACTGTACTCTGATCTCGGCAGACTTTAAGGAGATGGGGAGGGGGGGTGGAGAGCTGTGGCATCTGTGACTTCATCTCAGACCAGACTGGGAGATGCAACTCTTGAAATGGCATCGAGGTTGAGAGTAATTGTCTGGAAGACAGCTCGCATGCCGATTAAGGACTGTCAATTCTGATAAAGTTATCAACTTGTTTCTCTTAAAACTTGAGTGCCTGAAAAACAAAATCCCGCTTGGGTAGGTCACACTTGGGAATATAAGCTCAAAATGGAAAAAAAAGGGGAAAAATGTACAAAACATGAATATGGTAAGATGGTACGCTTAAAGGAATTCAGCGGAGTAGTTTTACCTTTAAGAAATGTGATGTACAAGTACTGTACGTGCATGAAAACCATGCTCAATTTTAAGAAATTCAAAAGCTACAACGTACATGTAAGGTTGTCCCCCAAATAAAGTACCTGTATTATGTACATGTAAATTTATGTATCAAGATATTCAGGAAGTACATGTACATGTATATAAAACAAATTTCTTGCAGCAGAATTCTGCTTGATGACAGACATACACACATGCCCAGATGAGACTGTTTCTACTGATAAAATGTTTGTGCATTCTCAGTTCCGGTATACACCGGATTTACTGCCAATGTAAACTTGTTGTGTGTTCTTATGCCTCCAAGTTTGCACCACAAAGAGTTCCATGTATTCACTACACATACATTGTAACACAGGCTCTCAGGTCAGATCTGTATTAATCTAACCCCCTAGCATGCCGAGGGGCCATTGAAATCCTGCATAACCTTGTTGGGTTCAGCATGGTTAGGGTAAACACTAAAAATATTCAAAGTCACTTTTAAGGTACATGCACTTCTTTGAGACCTGCGTTTATCACAGAATGCCCAACCATACCCCTATACTACAACACTTACGACCATTTTAATGGCTTTCATCAGTAGGCACAGGACTCTTTAATCAATGCCATGATGGAATCCAGAACCCATCAACCTTTGCAGGAAAATGCAAGTATTGCCTGAGCTTTATACCAGCATCATAAGTAGCATGTGAACACCAATACAAGATGTGACATGCTTGCAATGAAGCAGACTGCAGTAGGCAAGGATGCAATCATCGACAATACAAGCACTCATTACTCAGGGGAGTTTTCATTCTTTTCTTTCCTTTTCAAATGTGCATTTTATTTAAATATTATTATGCTGTTGTATTGTCACCTCCTTGTGAAATGTTTCTTGGTTTTGCATGTCGAAATTGTGAAAAAAAATTAAAATATCACATACAATACAAAATACAAAACAACATACAAAATGTGTACATTAAAATCAACAATTCTGAAAAATACCTACAACATATCACATCAAATACAATCCTCACTAGGTTCTGGATAATTCTGCCAACCAGAATTAATCTTTCCAAACTAGACAAAAAAAAGATTCATTTTACTTATGACGGATTCCCAGTTTCAAGACAGCATGTCCAATGACCGGTACCCGTACCAGAGCAATGCCATGAGGAACATTTACAGAACATGTGTACTGCTTTACCTCCATGGATGCATTTGCCAAATAAAAAGGAAATGGAAAGTTCACAAACCCTTTGATGCTGTTGGCTGTTTAGTAAAACAACCCCTAGCCAAGAGAGTCAATTCAAAGGGTTCATCCACAAAATGTTGTCAGGCTACCGCACACAGTGTAACTTCTTCCACAATAAATAACATGACTAACCACACATGTTCAAGATAGGTAAACTTGTGTACTGTACATACATGTATCACACACAAATGATCGGCACAGACTTCACTACCTGAAGACAAAACTTCAAAGCACAGACAGACATCAACATGAAAAATGTACAGCAGGAACCTGGTGAGAATGTGAAACATGTACATGTATAAAATGTCACAATTCCTGATCGTTATGTGCCACTCTGCAGCTCTGCCTGATTTGAAAATGAGGGCCAGACAAATCTCAGTGGACTGCGCCATTTATGATAGGGGGAGGGCCATCTCACTTGAAGATGGCATTGACGGATACAGTACGTATGCTCCAACATACAGAATGTCATGTATGATTTATACCACAACCAAATTGATGACTATGGCAAGTGTTTTGCTACACCTAAGCTAATGGGGATTATATGCATAAACACATTACAGAAACATTAAATACCGGTACATGATTTGCTGCTTGAGCAGCAATTACATGTACATGTACCGTAGTTTGCAAGATTCTGACCCAGATGGGTAAAAAACTTTTTCATTTGAAAGGATGTATTGGTCCATGTACACTTTGCGAGTGAGATCTCACAAGTTTATGTACCGGGGGTAAGTAAGAATCTAATCCTGAGCAAATCTACTGTGTCTTGTTTTCATAACCCCTTCAAAGTGAAACCACGCTCAGTCTCAATATACAGGTATAAACACGTGCTGTTAACTTGTACAAGTACATGTACAGTATGTGAAGATCAGTGAGTTACAGGGTCCAAAATATTCCAACCTTTTCTCGAAGTGGTTTTACAACGATTCTAAAAAGACACTAGTTATCTGATTGAGGCATAGACTCTGTCTGATCTCCATGAATTCTTGATGAGAGGTGCTACTCCATGGCACCTGCACACGTGTACATGTACATGAATAATGATAATGGTGCAGACGTCTACATTAAATATTCACCTGCATGCTGTACACACATGCATCAGAGTGGAATTAAGATGAACATGGGGGGGGAAAGATGTACATGTACCTAAAATAACTCCTGTGTGCAATTTGATAATTGAACATTACACAGACAGTTACAGTGTACATTAACATAAACTTCTCATTTCCTCATCAATTCTCCCTAACAAATCCTTCAAAAATATGAGGAGTGATGTTGGGTAATCAGGGAGGACTGAGTGTTAATTGAAACTCTGATTAATTTAGCAAGATAATGGGATTGATTTCACATTCTCAAGCCTCGTCTGCAACTACATGTACATGTAAACTTGATTAATTTGAAGAAACAGCTTTGTTATTTTTATTCAATTTGGCATAACTTCTTATGCTTTTTTGTTTTTTCATTTGAGATTTTGTGGGGGTTGTAATGCACTGAGAATGCACCCAAGCCAAAATACAAATGTACATGTAACTGTAACTCAGGAACTCGTCAATTTGATCTTCGAGCCTTCATGCCTATTGAAAATCCGATTCATATAGACTCCCACTCAAACTGGCAATTGAACTAATATAGGAAAAATGCAAGAGAGAAATTGACGGCAAAACCTTCCAGCCATGAGCTGAAACCAGTTGGCCCTTCCCTTCCTACAAGTACATGTCATCACTGAGGCTTAAATTCACTAGGCTATTACCTTTTAAGGCACACGTGGGTCATTCTATAAATTAGGGGTCCAATTTTTCCGTGTTCCTATCACATCTGACATAAGATTTTGTAAATAAAGAACAAATTCTCTAATTTCCAAGAGTGACGAATTAAAGCAAATTACCTACCAAACAAATATAAATAACTTGAATCAATTCAGTGATATTTACACGTCAAACAACAAAGGTCAAATGTAACAGGGACAGAAAATGTCACTTTTTTGGACCCTGAATTTATAGAATCACCCATACCTGTGTCTGTGGTAAAAGATTATCATGGGAAAGTATTACCAACAGAGGGCGCCAAACAGACTACACTCATCACAAAACACTGGATGACAGCTAAAAGAGCAGACAAAGGTACTGCCAGTGTCTTGATATTCTAAGAAGTTTCATGAGTAGCAGATTGCAAACTGAGAAGAGTAACTGCCATCTCCTTTAATCAGCAACACATCAGTAACTACACGTACATGTAGCAAATCTTGTCCTATAAGAGTGCAAACTTTTGCCATTCCAATGCACTTCACACAGGATGCCCTGGATCGATGCCCTGGATCCATCAAACATGGGTGATGTATCGATCAGATTGGCACAGACTCCAAATCAACAGCAGCAGAGTAATTTTTCATGGCGGGGAGGGGGGGCTGTGAGACCATCAGGTATCAGCCATTACAAAGCTGACCCATCAAGTCTCACCCATTATAAGATTTGCAAAATGTGGGAGGGGAGAATGCCCCCCCCCCATTCCACCACCAGTGCTCCCAACGGAGTGATGTAAATACTGTTCATTTTGCTTATCTGAGGAATTGCTTGGCACTACCCTGATTACCATACGGTAGCTTTGAATTCTTCAGAGTGGGCAATCGCGAAATTCTACATGTACATATGTACTGGTAGTTTAGTAATGTACCCTTGTTTATGAATTTTCCTTTGCATCTGTCATCATACAAATATTACTGTAAACCATGGACACATTCTCCATACTTGGAAAAAACTTGAGTTTCATAAGTTCCTTGGTTAGGTTTGGTTCAGGGGAGAGGGTGCGGACACAGCCCAAACTACATTCTAAACTAAAGCTGCCAAAGTTTTGGAAGAGCCCATTGGTACATGTAGTATCTTATTGTTCAGTCCGTTTATTACATATGTCTTGACATGGAACAGCCGTCGAGACGATGAGGGGTCAAGTGACATATTGTTCAATTATCTTATTTTAAAGATGGCGACTGAGAGAGCGAGCCCATTAGATTGAATGGATAAACGCAAAAAGACTGGAAAATACCTTAATAACGTGGGTGAAATCATTCAATAAATGGTTTTTAGAAAGCAGAAAGGTCAAGAAAGAAATTGCGCCCACGATAACTGAGTGCGCTGAAATGTTCAGTACGCCGACACGAAATTGCGCATACGGGTGTGTGGTTAAGGATGGATCGGGAGTGCGAGTCTGTGCCACACTAGTGAGGCTAAGAAAATACGTACCTGCTCTTTTTGTAGTAATTCTGCCGGAGTTTTTCTTGACATCTCCGCCTCCACTTGACCCCTCTGCTTCCCTGAAGCTTACAATGGATCCTCTGGAATCTTTTGCAGTTTTGCTTTTGGATTTATATACAATTGGTTCATCCTCCAAAGGAGAATTTGATGAGGGTACGCCAGCTCTCAGCGCAGTGGTGGCCGCCATTTTAAATGTCCTGTTGGCTTTCCATTGCTGGGCTAATGGTGGCGCTTTATTTGTTTGAAAATATTTCTCAAAATGTGGCTACATATTGTCCAAGATACTTCGTAAGCACTTTCACTTTGGTATATTCTGAATCAATGATGAGTCATTTGTTTTGTAGATAAGTATCATTTTGTGTTGTGACATAAAAAATTCATTCGATAGAAGTTTTTCTCATTTTTGTACACACTAAGGCTTGAATGGTTTAGAGGCCAGTTGATCAATGAAGCACAAATTTAAGAAAGGCCAAAAATCAGTTTAGTCTGGTGCTTGATAGTTACCAGACTCCCAAATCTTTTTTCTAGATATGTTCAACCTATCTAATCATAAAAAAATCAAGTGTTGAATTAGGCTCCTATAATAGGCTTATTTTCCTTTAAACGACCCTCCCTTCCCGCAATTTCGACCCGGGATTCAAACCCACACCCAATGCAT